CTCAATACAGAGTAGAGCGAATATAATTATTTATTTAAAAATTATAACATAAATATGTAATAAAATCATATGATGATATTGAATGTAGATTGTACAATCTACATTCAACATCATGCAACTGGAATTTATACAAACTTATGCCACTGGAATTTATAAACAGGGATCATAACATTCATATACTGGTTAGGGGTTAATATACTTTATTAAAATTGTTTGCGAAGATGTATTCTCGACATTTAAATCATTAACTTCTATATCTGTTTTTTGTATGAATGATTCATATAATGTAAATTGAACTGCACCACATAATTGATATATATATATATATATATATATATATATATATATATATATATATATATATATATATATATATATGTATTAGAGGAAAAAATACGACAATGAAGGAAAATGTTAGTGTGACGCGTTTTGTCCTTTGGAAATGAATCCTTAAATCTTGTGAATTTTGTTACACGCATTCCATTCTAATAATTTCATTTTTCGTATCTCTCGCCTGTGGAACTCTCTTCCACCTACGTTCTTCAAAAATGTAGATGCCACGCTAATCGCCATTTTCTGCTTCCCTGAGAACAGATGTTTATTGTCCTTTCTCTTCACTCTAGTCTTCTCATTTTCTTTCACTCCCAGTAAACCTTTGCGTGGTAGTAGCATTATCGTCTTTCTTGGGATGAAAGGATTCCCTCCATTATTTCATTGATTAGGAACAAACATTTGGACTTCCAAACATTGGAGAAGACTATGGGAAACGATTAGACTAAATTCCTTAGTGTTATGGGGATTCACCCCTTTTTCATACAAGTGGACTCGACCAGTGTGTACTTGTACTGCTGCTAGTGAATACTCAGGAGATAGAGTGAGTAACAGGGAAATACACTGATATAGTGAGAGAGTGAGGTAACCGCTTTGTAGGAGTCACAGTTGCGAGCACGTAGACTCAGAAGGAAGTCCTACTGAATTTCCCAGACTATATATATTATTATTATTGCTACTAACCGCATTTCTGGATCTACTAACCGTATTCCCAATTGTATTGTTGTGTCAATACATTTATTTGCTATATTTCATTCCTGAGTTTGTCATTCATTTGAGACCGGATTTCATCTCGGAATCCACAACACTTAGGTATTCAAGGTAATTCACACCTAAAGAAAAGGATACTGTGGCATGTTATGTGGGTACTGTAAAGGATATAAGCGCGGAGATTTCAAATGCTAGGCCAGTCTGTTGCGTTCATTTTCGTGCATCTCTCTTTGGAGTAGACTACAGCTCTTCTCCTCTCTGCTATGGGTGAAATAGCATGGTAGAGAGGCCTTGGATGGCAACGATAAGGAAAATTCAAAATCGTGGAGCAAGCAACGGCAATCTGCTCCGCTATCATTTCATTCATGGACATTCAAAATTAATAAAGAAAAGTATTCCATAAAAGTATATGCGCTTCGTGTTAAATAGCAGTGTTGACTTGACCCACTAGCCTTGGATGGTAACCCGTCTAAGATAAGGAAAATTCAAAACCGTGGAGCAGGAAACAGGAAGATACTTCGCTAATTTTCCGAAGAATTCAGGGTCAATCATAAATAATAAAAGAATGTGCGCGTCATATAGCGAGTTGGTCAGTCAGTCGACTGACTGACCGGTTGAACTCTCTGCCTTCGAGCGGGGAGGAACCCGAAAGAGGCTACGCCGAAGGGCGGATTCTGTTTCGGGGAGGTAAACCGACCCTGAACCCGTTTATATGGGTTAAATGGGCATATTTTTGGCCGAGCCCACGGGCTCGGAGATCCCACGTTAAACCGGCCTTGTGCCACATGATGCCCTCGTGGGGGCGGGTGACTAAATATCGTCATATAGCGAACCGCAGGGAGCTCGGGAGTTTACGAGTAAGAAGGACGAGGAATCTGTGGAGAGCCACGAACACGTATATTTTGAAGACTCATGAAATTCTAAGAAGAAAAATCGTGGAAACCATGATAGCCTACGTCTTGAAGGGATATGGAATTTTTATTTTTAAACTAGATACAATATTTCTTAAGGGAAAGAAGTTGGTGATGTCCCGCTGCGCGTGGATATATTTACCTCATGTTCGGGATCAAAGAAAACCTTTATTGAATTGCTTGACAGGAAAATGGCACATGTACGTCAAGGCGATCAAATTTCAATATCCTAGCATCTTCAGCAAAGTGGAAAAGCAAAGAATTTCGACAAGTAGCTTCTCCCAAAATTTGAGAAAAGCCAGAGCAGTCTTTGGTTGGACTGTTATTTTCATCAAACCGAATGAATTAAACTAGATTTTTTTTTTGATTTTTTTTACCTCTGAGAAATATTGTGTGGGTGCGTGCACGTGCGTGTCGAAAGTGTTACGCCTTACTTTTTAAAGTAATTTTTGAACGCCGGTAAAAAGACCTTGAACAAGTCACTCGCTTAAGCTCTTAGTCGGAATCTCATAAATTTTGAAAACATTAAGAAAAAGGTCAGTTGCAAAATGCCCGAACCAGTCGGCAACGTCTCTTTTATGAGTTGATGCCGAGCTGTTTTACTATTGTAGGTCGCAAAGTGCTGTCCTTTGGCAAATAAATTAGTTTGGCGCTTGTCACTTATTATTCCGCAAATGGCAAAGTATTTTTTTTTAATCTCTCGAACCGCTAACAGTTCTCTTTAGTCGTATTACCAGAGGCGAGAAAAAGCAAGTAAAAATTAAAGAAAAAAAGAAATTAAAAAAGAAACATAATGAAAGAATATGAAATACTGAAGGTCAAATTCACCTCTTTATTTGCCTTTTTTTTAATTTCTTTCTTTTCGGTTTTTTCTTCTTTCATTAGCTTTTCTGTCTATTTTTCTTTTCCTCTTTTTCTATTTCTTCCGGGTTTCTTTTACTTATTTTTGAATTTATTTCTTCTTTTTCCCACTTTACTATTTTATTCTTTCCACTTCCATTTTCTTTTCGTTCATTTTTTTCTTTTTTCTCCTCCTTTTCTCTTCTCTTTTTATCCCTATTTTCTATTGTTCCTTTTTTATTTTTCTCAACCTCTCTCTCGCTTATGCTTCATTACATTCATGCACTTTTCATTTTTTTTCTTTATTTTCCCGCTTTTTTTTCTATTTCTTTTTCTTTTAAATTTCTTCCCGTTTTTATACTTTCTCTCTCATTTCGCTTTCTCTTTTTTTCATCTTTTATAATTCATTCCGTTTTTATTCCTTTTTATTCCTATTTTGTTTCGCTTTCTTTTACGTTTCTAATTAATTCATTCTTTTTCTCTCTGCTCATTTATTTTTTGCCTCTTTCCTTTTTTTTTCATTTAATTTCACTTTTTCTTTCTTTTTTCTTACATTTTCTTTTTTTCACTTTATTTTACCTGTCTTTCCATTTTCTTCTTTTTCACTTATATTTCTTTCCTGGTCTTCTTTCTCTTGCCTTTCATTTTCCCTCTATTCTATGTATTTCCTATTTTTTTTACTTTTTTCCCTCCATTTCTCAGACACACACACACACACTCTCTCTGTCTCTCTGTCTCTCTCTCTCTCTTTCGTATCTTTTTTATCCATATTTTCTGGGTTTTTTTCTTTTATTTAGTTTTCTGTTTTTCTCTTCTCCATTATTTATTCTCTTCCTCTCCTAACTCTTTCGTTTTTATCCTCTTTTCACTCACTTTCCTATTTGTTTGTCTTTTTCTTTCACTTTTTGATTTTTGTTTCTTATCTCTCTTCACTTTTCTTTTCTTTCTTTTCTTTTCTTTCTATTCCTTTTCTTTTTCTTCTTTTTTCTTTGGCTTTTCTTCCTATGGTTTTTTCTTTATTTACTCTTACTTTATCTTTATTTGCTATTTCCATTTCTCTTTCTCTCTCTCCTTTTGTCTATATCTTATGCTTCCATTTGTTCTTACTCTCTCTTTCTTTTTCTTATTGTTCTCTCCTTTTCTCGTCTGTCTCTGTTTCTTCATGTCTTTCCGTTTCTAGTTTTCTTTCTCTTTTCTTTTATAACCTTTCTCTTCTACTTCTTTATCACTATTTGTATTTCCTTTTTCTTCCACGTTTTTTTTCTCTTTTCTCCTTATTTTTTATTCTTTCTTTCTCTTCTCTCTCCCCCTCTTTTCTTTTTCTTCCCTTTCCATTTCACTTTTATTTTCTCTTACTTTTATTATTATCTCTTTTTCTCTATCGTCATTTTTCTCTTTCTTTTTTTAATTCTTTCGCTTTCTTTTTTTTTCTTCCTATTTTCTATCCTTCTTCCTTGTGTTTCTTTTTATTGTTTCTTTTCTTTTCTCTTTTGCCTTCACTTTTCTGTTACTTTCATGTTTGATTTTTTTTCCTCTATTTTTTGCTTTTTTCTGTTTCTTTTTCTTTCCCGCCTTTATTTTTCTTTTGCCTTTCAGACTCTCTTTCCATCTTTGTCTCAAGCATGACTATCTCTTCAGAATAAAAAGAAGTTGATAATTGTTCACATTTATCGGAAATGCAGTGAGTTTTAATTTTACTTTCATTTTTCGAAATCTACCATTTGTTCGTGCATTGAAATTTTCTGCCACACTTGATCTTGTTCATATTCAAAGAAGAATCTGTAATGTTATATATATATATAAATGATAGATATTATTAGGATGTATTTGATAAATATAATTAAGTAATTCATCGAGTCTGAAAGATCCCTCAACAGAATGCAGAAAGAAGTGGACGGCCGTTTCGTTCTATATTTGGGACTCATCAGCAGTGCGCACGAGAATTGAAACACGGACAGTTAGGTTATAAAGCAAACGCCGTACAAACTGTTCCAACGGGTCTCGGTGAGGAAGAGGTTGCAAATCAGACTCAATATAGCACCGTGGTGGAATTCAACTGAGATTCTCTTTAACATTAGGACTGTGCCACCAGGAGCCACGACACCTATCACCAAGCCTTATATATATTAAAGTAAAACAGACCACTTTAAGATTCCATTATAATAATTTATTTCAACAGAGCTCTTTTAAAGGACGCCGGATCGTCATTTTTTTTCGTTTCATCATTTGGAAGTGTTATCTGAAGATCCGGCATCCTTTAAAAGGGCTCTGGTGAAATAAATTATTATAATGGAACCTTAAAGTGGTCTGTTTTTCTTTAAAATACTAGCTCTGAATTTACATTGAGCTCTTAGGATTTCATCTTCCGTGGGACTATCCATACGGATTACCAAGTTTTTCATAACTTAACTATATATATATATATATATATATATATATATATATAGTGTGTGTGTGTGTGCGCGCGCGTACGTGTGTGTATGTGTCTGTATTTGAGCAGCAATCACTCTTTTATGCACGTGTGTTAACATCGACTGATAAGATGCTGCAGTTAAGCTTTTTACTTAATTTTTCTTGGGTTCGTACAAGCGGTTTCTTTTCTGGGCAAAAAGCGTGTAAACACTGTCCAAAAGTTTAGCATTTAAAAGGGCTTTGGGCTATTCTTTTGCCATTATCAAGGATGATTTTTATTTTTAACTGAATTTCTTGGTTTTATGTATGCGTCTGAAGTTATAAGAATGCATTATTTTCCAAACACGATCAATACGTTGTGACCGTGTTCATATTTAATGTTATTGAGTGTTGGCTTTTTTTTCTTTTTTATTATTAGGGTTTCCTTTGTTCTTAATCTTTTTTTTTTTTTTTACTTGTGGATGAGACTATTATACTTGTATTTTCTACTAGTATGTTGCTGATGAAGTTTGGTATGTTTCCGTGTGTATTTAATTAAGTCCTAATTGAACAATGGCTGGGTAGGTGCAACGTTAGTCAAATTTGGACAGCTTTTAAACCTATCCTGTCCCGAAAAGTAAACACTTTTTTACATTATTCGGACTATTGTCCTCATCTTTGTCGCCATATTTATCACAACGTTTCGGCCGTTTTACGCTCCGGCCTTCTTCAGGTGGTTGGAATGTCGAACTGAACCCTTTATTTCGTTCACAGGAGTAGACTTTTCTAGTTCCACGTGCCATGTTTGATGGATGTTCTCAAGGACACATGGCACAGTGGATAAAGTCGTTGGTTAGATCCAGTGACAGGACGCAAAGAGTGTGAGTTCAATACCCGGTTAAGGCAGTGGAGAAAATTCAGAGGGAAATTAACAGGAGATAACTGATAACTGACATCCATCAAACATGGCAAGTGGAACTAGAACAGTCTACCCCGGTGAGCGAAATAAAGGGTTCAGTTCGACATTCCAACCACCTGAAGAAGGCCGGAGCGTACAACGGCCGAAACGTTGTGATAAATATGGTGACAAAGATGAGGACAATAGTCCGAATAATTTAAATAATGTACATAATACCTCATCTCAGAAATATAGACTGACTCTGAAGTAAACACTTGTACGAACACAAAAAAAAATAAAATAAAATAAAAATCTTAATCGCAGAAGGATGTCAGTTGCCTTTAATGAAAATTTTATGTATGAAATGTGACATCTTTTTTAAAAAAAAAAGAAGCCATAAAATCTGTAATGTAATCGATCCTGACCTGGCATTTTGACTGCAGTCACCGAAGTGACGTGGCTTTCCTCTGTTTTTTTTTTTTTATACAAATATTTTCATAGCAATTGCTTTTCTTCTTGGTACCTCGACAGCGTGAATTTAAGCGTACTACTAGAGTGGCAACAACGTCTCACCATTTGACTGTGAAACTAGCTAGATGAATCCGTATGTTTTATTCTAATAATTCTCGCCTGTCGACCTCGTCTTCGTTTTCTTGCTAAGTTTTTCAAAAGTTTGAATGCAATGTCTTGAGTTTTCCTGAACCGTCTTCCTCCACTTAAGGTTTCTCATCCTCTTTCACTAACTGTAACGCCATTTTGTTAGAAAAAGTACTGAACTGTTACATAATATCAGTTTTATATGTCTGGACAACCTGGACACTAGAATGCTGAACAATCTCCTCAATGATGAAGAAGGAACATGAAGCAACATAAATACGGTTTTATAAAAGGATGCGTGGAATACCCTACACCGAACATATGAGAAAATGGAAACAAAAACGACAATTTTATTTAACGTTGAGACTATTGAAATTTCAAAGATACATAATTAAGAAATATGGCTTTGAAAATTTGATACGCACTATAGAGTATAACCGCAAGAGGGATAGAGAAAAACAACGCATCATCTCATCATCTTGCGGCCTCAACCGAGATTGAACTCACCAATACTTTGATTGGTGTAGTTCATAATCTTGTCAAATAACTGGATTCTTGATACTTCGCTAGGGCTATCAAGGGTGTTTTTATCGTGACACCAACACTAAATGGATTGCCAACCAAGGCTCAGAGAGACTCCATTCACCCTCCTCTAAGGGCAGGTTTGAATTCAGAGTTTTCCTTCTCCTAGACCAGTTGCCATCCAAGGCTATAGAACCCAGTCTGTCCTGCTATTAACCCATAGCTGGAGGGAGAAGAAAGAGGATTCACACCTTTCCCAAGGGTGTTAGCACGTAAGTGAATGTAATGGATTCGACTGGAATTCGAACTCGGCTCTCCGATTCCTCAATCCAAGTCGCTATCCACCGTGCCTCCCAATGCATAACCTATCGAGCGAGAATGAATAAATGGATGACGGGACAAGATTTAGGGGAGATGAGAAAAACAATAAATTTAATAAGAGCGAAAAAGGACGGAAAATTGTAGTGGGCCCTGATCGCCGAGGTGCACATAAAAGAACAACCCAATGCATCCTAGTGGCATTATACCCCTATGCTTGGGTTGTAATGTTTATTTATTTTTTTTTTTTTTTTTGTAATAATAGCATTACTGTAATAATTTAAAATTATGTTTAATAAAATATATAATACTAGCCTAGACTCTGTCAAAACTTAATGAAATATGTATGTATAGTTTGGCAATTTTGTCAAGGATCAGCGTACTACAGACAAACTTCTCATCTACAGACCCCACCCCCGATCTACGGACTTCGCATGCAACAGTCAAAATCTGCAGGCAAAATACAAAAAAAAAAAAAAAATCTGCAGGAAAAAATTTCCAAATCGTCAGCGATGTATTTCAAAATTTACGGGCTTAGCGGAACGAGTCGTATTAGTTCTAAAGGTAACCGCTTGGCGGCGGTCGTGGCTCTTTCAATTGTAAACAAAGGCGGGTGTACAGTATATGAAGTACGATACATTAGCGCATGGGTGAGGAAGTAGCTGTGTGAAATCTATTATTTTTTGTTATTTTGATTAATATACCTATTAAGTATATATTTGTTTATGCCATATATACATATTTATAGTATTTATATAAGGATCATAATTACTGGCAGTTACAATAGTGGTTTTATAGCTCAAAATTAATCCCTTCTCATCTACAAAAAATCGGTTTAACGGACCACCCATCCCTCTATTAATCCGTTGATGAGATGTGTGTCTGTATATGTACTTTCCTAGAAACAAAGCTCTCGTTTCCTGGTCTTTGGCTTAGGATCAGTGTAATAACTGTAACAGTGTAATAACTCTAACAGTGTAATAACTCTACCTAACTTCTAAATTGCAATTTAAATTTACTATACGTGAATAATGGATGGCCTTTGTATGGGTTTTAGATAAAGTTAAAAACGGCACGAATTCACCAGAGGGCCGCAAGGATTCTGAAGCGTCGATACGCTTCCCACATCCATGTTCGAGGAACCGACTAAGACCACCTGCGGATGGACGATCAGCGAACATGCAACATGGGTTTCCGTGGCGTCATTCCTCTCGCTGCTTCTTAGAATACAAGCTGTCACGTCTGTCTCTCTGCGTTAATAAAAACAATTGGCAAAAGAAAACGTCCTTTTCGTTAATGTCATTTTATGTAGTCGCATGGGGAGTCACAGACGACACAAAACGCAACATTCTGTTCATACAGAACGATGGCGTAATGTATATATCATTTGTTTGTGTTTATATACAGATCAAATGTGCGAATCAAAGCAGCTTCTGACGCCCATGAAATCAATAAAGTCTTTCTCTTCAATCCTACCCTTTTTTTCTACTTTCTACTTGAATGAATAAAAAAAGTTGATTTAATTTGTTTATTTGACAGCATAGCAACACATTATGAGTCATTTAATGCAGAACTGTAATTTTCTTGGGATTTTTGAAGTAATAAAAATGAGAGATATGTTATTCTTCTTTCACAGTTGAATACATGGTAGATGATACTCAGCTTTTGCGCTGATTCATGTTTGTACGGACATAATTAATAGAAGCTGTGATATGTGTGTTTTATGTTGTAGTTTTGTTGAAATTATATTTTGGAATACAGTTTGATTTCTTTAAGAAATTATATGATATTATATGG